ATTCGTATTTCTCCACCGCTATCGAGCACTTCCTCCCACGCGCGTGAGCCGCATAAAAATGAAATACTCAACGCTTTCCGACGACTCTTATTTGGCTTTATTATTAAGTATGTCTTTCGAGTCTATTAAATGAGCTGTGTAACACAGTAGGTAGAGCGGTGCTTAAATTATTTTTATGGTCCTTATATTTTTGAAATATCGGCCAGTGACCTTTCCAAATTAATTTTTGGAGCTATTATATCGGATCGGTGAAGGCGGAACAAATTGTTTATCCCCGGTGTTAAGCCGCGGCGGGAGTGCCGACGCACATATTGCCGACACAGGAATCTCGGAGGGACGACCCTCCCTTGCTCCCTTTGATTTAGGCGAAAGACGAAGGGATCACAATTAAAGGAGACCGGCTTTTGTCAACACGACTCACTAGCGATATGATGATGGACTTTATTATAATAATAATGTTTGGAACGTTCGATATAGACTATACGAGTGCATCGTAGAACTTTGTTTCTTTTTGTTTAATAGAAACTTCATTGAAGTAATCTTAGTAAACTTAGTTAAATTTGCGAAGCTATGCTTAACTTGCTCGGTGCCAATATTCCAAACAAGTTCCCTTTCAGCGCAACGTCGAAACTCGATTCTGAGTAATTTATTTTAAATAATTTTACAAAGCAAGCCCGCGTACACCGTATTAAAATTTGCCTCGAGACCTCAATGTAGACGCTAACACAAAATTAAAGTCGTCGACACTTAAGGGCTTCGTAGTTTCGAGGGGAGTTTCCGGGAAATTTCTCTCGGAATGTCGAAATGGCGGATGAGTTTCGCAAGTCAACTCAATTATCGTTTTAATTAAGGCGCCGCACCACGTGACATTTGTTTGCGTGCGTGAAAGCGATCGCCCGCTGCTATTGGTACCTACTCCACCGCCCTTCGCGCCCGCTCCGTTAATTGTGCTAATTACTCCTGTAATAGAGCAAGGGGTGGGGTGAGATTGGTTATCGACGGCTTCTCTGGAATTTACTTTGTGTGCTAGGTCTGTTTGCCCCACTTGGCTTTAATTTGTTGTTATTAACTATTCACGTCGATCTTAGTCCACTTAATGCGTGTGTCGTTTTGTAATGCAAACACATTACTAATGACTTGGCATGAGATGCGAATATCTGTGTAGGTGTGAGGAGTAGAGTTGGAGCGTTACGACCGCTAACGCTCGGCTGGCTGCAGGTAGCAAACAGTGCAGTAATGAACATCAATTGCATTGGGCAAGTTTCCAAGCGGTGCATTTATGCGGCGGAGTTCCACCAAGAGCGCTCGTTCTCGCAGCCGTAGCGCGGAGTGGCGGCGCGTAATGGTCTCTGTTTCATTGCACTACGCTCTTTGTACACTGTTCTACACTTTAGGCTAAAGTCTCGAGCAGATTAGCAAACGGTGGCTGTGTCATAATACCATAGAACAACACGTCACATCAAGTCGACAACGAGCACCAGGCAATTTGGTTATTTGGGGTCGGCCATAAAACGATAGCGCGCAATAAACGCAATCCTCCACTCGCGACTATAAACTTTACGAGTCACGTAAAAACGCGCTCGAAACGCCGACTCGCTACCATAAATTTATGCTAATGTATTCTTTATAGGAGTTTAATGTGTATTCAGAAATTCCACCATTATTTATGTATACGAATGAACCGGTAAAGTTAATTTTAAAGTCGCGCAGCGCCCCGCGGTTTACGCGCTCACTGCCGATTAATTTTTTGTGGAGTTTTTGTGGTCCATGTTTCCGACGAGCGCGATCCACTTTTCTCGGTGAGTATCGTTTTTGTTTTACGGACTCCTTTCCTGCAGCATCCAGTTTAGTAAACCAGGAGTCCTTATTCTTTAACTGTGGCCCGATATGACTGAGATGTTTTTATGCGGAACTCGTTTATTGCTTCACCGAGCTCCGAACGCGGTACAAAGTTATAAATTGACAACGTAATGGGACTTAAAAGTAAATGGTACGTAATAAAACTTTTCGATGACAGCGCCATAAAACTGGGCCGTATAACACGGATAGTTCCGATAAAAACCGAAAACGTCGCGTGTAAATCACGTAACTTTTCAAAACTATTATGCCTGAAATATAGTCTGAACTCAATCCGTACATTTCCGAGCGGCGGGCGGTCTATTTATCTATTTCCCCCGCTTCCGCCCCCGAGCGTCCGGTTAACCGCCCCCCTTCCGGTTAACCGGGCGGCGCGGCGCGCGCGGCTAAACGGCTCGTCGCGTGACCGCAGACAATAAGCCCGGGCGGCGTTAACAGCGCGCCTGTGTGTTGCCACTTTATATGTTACGTCACATCCCCTCCCTGCCCCCCATCGCTGCCGCCCGACACATGTGTGCGACCTCCGCGACGAACGGTAGCCGATAAGTCGTGTTGTCGGAGCTTGTAGCGGCTCGTACTTGTTTAGCGCCGCGCCCGCCCCGCACTCCTCCGACCCTCGTTCCCGACTCAATTGCCTTTTTCTTGAGGTCGACCCGCGTAATGGGATAAAGTAAAGATTAGCTCTGTTCGCTTTTCCTTTAAAAATGGAAAAGGTTGTGAATGACTCTTCAATATTATATAATGTCTTTTGGAATAGACTTTATTTAATATTGAAGCTTTTTGATCATCTTTAATCTTAATGGCCTCACTTTATTAACATTAAAATATATTTGAGTACCTCCCTTTATATTAACATCGGGCTTGGTAGTAATTAAGATTGAACCCTAATCATTGTATTAGCTACATCAGAGAGAACACGGATGCTCGTACGAGTAATAACGACAATGGAGTAAACCACAATTCATCCATTAAATCAACGTTTAACCGCAAACGATCCACCCTTGAGCGTCGTCGGGCGAATGACTCCAACAATATACGTATACGCTGGGTAACATAAAATCCATCCAATCGAATCCGACACGTCGCATTACCGCGTTCTGGGTCCTCGAAATAGCGCTCTTGGAATTCGATACTCGACGAGATCGACTGATCGTAAAATTAGGGCCCGAACACACGTTCGACCCCCACACGCAAAATGCTCACTATGAAACATAAAATACTCGACACTGTGGACAGTACTTTATGTTTCCACGCGACTTGTGCCAATAATAAAACTTTATTGGTTACATCTCGCCTATCAAATATCCAATAACAACGCCGCAATAAGCCGACTCGTCTAGTTTATCCAGATGATACTCGCCACTCGTCCCACTTTTATTATCTAATTTCTCCCTCGTAAAAACGAGGCTGTGCGTGAAAATAGAACTTTGGCTTAGATACTATTACTGCGGATCATTAAAAGTTAACTGAGTCGTGATGTTGGCCGTATCTTGGGCGATAATAGATGCGATTCGGACATAAAGCGTTATTGTCTTGAGCCTGGTCTCGGGTCTCGGGATCGCAGTAAGTCACAGCGGGTGGCGACAGGTCACCGGCGTGGCGTGGCGAGCAAATTAACAGCCGCTTGCCACTCAGCTCTAACTTAGTGCCTCGTAAAATTAGGCCCTGTTAAACCCCTCGGGCTCGACCGAGCGTGCCACTATGCTCCCATAAGATCTTAAGAGCAATTTCCCTAACTCTGTTTTTGATAGCGATCCATACTAAAGTCGAATAGTAACATATGACGAAGACACGCAATGTGATGAAAACACTACTATCTAGCGTTACTTCTTATTGAATCTGAGGAACGTAAACCTTTTCGCCTGAATGCCCACACATGGCTGAGTACTCTTGAAATAGCATCTGCGTAACACAGCGCGCCGGCGGGCACTCAGCCGAATATTGATAATCCGTTTCGATACGTAGATACCTGCTGCTGAAGTGCGAACAGCCCGTAGATAGTTATGATAACAATGAGAGCGTAAGAGCTTTCGAATTATAATAGTTTTCATAAAACGTTTCAATAGTATGGATTTTTTTTCTCTACCATTTATGGAATTTCACTGAAGTTAGTTTATAACCACTTAAAACAATCCATAACACATAGATTGTCTACATGATATCATCGGTTGAAGGTAAAACTCAGTAACTCTCATTTTAATCAAAAAAGATGTTTTTCTTTTCTCTTTTTGTTTTATTTAGAAGAACGTCTACAAGAAGAAAAGTTTAGTAAGTGCGTAGTGTCCTTCATTAGAAAACTGCATTTCTAAAAAGTCTGTATGTACAATAACATTATAATACATTAGCAGATAAAACAGAAAATCTTAATTACCTCCATTAGTCAATTTGGCTTTGAAGTGAGTTTTACCCTTAAATCGATAATATGTAATATAAACGATACATGACAGTCGATAGGTTAAATTATTGACTTACAAATAAATGGACGACGGGTCTAATACAAAAACCACGAAAAAAATGTCCCAAGTCAACCTATTCGAAATTTAAATTGTAATGTCATCGCAGTATCGCGCTGTCAGTCGAACAAATGAAGACTAAAGCGGAGTTTGGCGCTCTGTATACGATTTTAGCGCCTTACAAGTGCGGACACTTTTTAGCGCGGACCCGACGTCCATATAATTGTAAGTCAATGGGTTAAATTGCATTACTTTGAAACAGACTACTAAACCCTCGAAAAAGAAACTCCAGCTTATTTCATGCCTGTCGAACATAACGTTGCCTTGTATCACAATGTCAACACGGGTAGAATCAGTGAACGCGGCGGTTCGTCACGTATATGATTATTTCATTAGTTCGTATTTGCCCGCTCATCCAAATGTTGCGGACGCCCACCCGCTGGGGGTGGTGGGGGCCAACCACTCCCGGAGCTAATCATGCGGTCAGTTTGTTCTGCCTCAGCGTGTTTTGATATTGATATTGACTGTAGCGCTCGCCTCGCTGCGCACCGATTTATTTGCAAACAATGATCGATTGATTGCTATACGTAAGCTCGCCTGTAAACGTTTCGATTATGTTTACTCGTATTTATTAAACTAACATAAAAACGATTAAACCTTTATTCATGATTCCGTTTTCAATTGTTACAGAGAAATTCGATATCTCCTGGTGAGAGGGAAAAGTACAGGACGCGAAGTCCAGCTGAGCCTGACCACAAGAAACTTAAAAAAGAAGAGAAAGATATGGGCCATGTAAGTTTCACATACTTAACTTTTTAAGACCAAGACCATCTTGAAAACCCTACAACCGCATTTTATACCTACAAATTGTCTGAATGACACTGATGACAGTGGAACTAGTACTTACTTGCCTATTTCTGCCGACAAGCAATAATGTTAGCATTACTGCGTTCCGCTATTTCAAGGGTAAGGGTGCTGGTGAAATTACAGGCACATGAGACTTGTCAACTTATGTCTCAAGGCGACGGGCGCGGCGGTGCCCCTCAGATCTTTGGGATTTGAAGTTCTGAGTGGCACTGCAACTGATATGGACTGGCGTTTCGCTTACCACCAGGCGCACAACTTCGTCCTGTCACTCGGTATCATAAACAAAATAGAATAGAAATAATTTATTCCGTATAAAAGCACTGTACATACACTATATGCAATATTAGACTAAAACAAATGGAAAACACAACATGCCTCATTACATACTAGTTAACAAATAATACGAATGAAAGAAATAAAAAATTAAACAGCACTTAAATAAATAATTCGCTCATTCTCGGACTAATGTTCACTACCTAATTTCCGTGACAATTTTTGTTATTTAAATATTCAAGTATAAATACTCGAATATTAAATAATAGTGCACGATAAAGTAATTGAATACTTAATAATAAAAATTGCCACGAATTTAGGTAGTGAACACTAGTCCAAGAATGATCGAATTATGTAATGAATAATTAATGAACATAACAGGCAGCGTTTGCGCTGTGCTATTATAGAAATCCATCACCCACTCAACTTATTGTCGTCTCACTAAAAGTGCTACGACGCTGTTTTTCAGTGGATTCGGTAACAAAAATACACGTGAAACGTATCAGATGTATAACTAGATTACATTATCAAAGCACTATTTATAAATAAATGAATAAATTGAGACAACATGACATACGTTGCTCCGATCCCAAATCAAGTAACAAAAGCACTTGTGTCAGGGAAATCGGAAACAACGACGTTACCACAAAATACCCAGACCTGAGAAGATATAGAAAAGTTAGTTTTACTATATTGACTCGGGGGATCGAACCCGGGGTTCTCATATATAGCGACACCATGAAAATCGATGTACAAGCCACTCGACGTCCAAAATAATTGAAATTAATGTTTCTTCTCGATTTCAGGATTTGGTAGTAGACGACGCAAGTGAAGAGCCTACGTCACCACACAATGGTGCGCCGTCACCCAGAGAAAACGGATTGGATAAACTACAACCCAAGAAAGAACACCCACCACACAGTCCTAGGTAAATAACACAACAACAACACGTGAATAATTCACAAAAAGCGCACAGTTACAACATACTGATCTGAACATGTCGTTTTTCGAGACTGTAGCACTGGCTTGGCGTCATGACGTTTATGTCATCAAGCTATAAATCGGTTTTCCTAATAAGTACACATTGGTGTTCGTAAACGAGCCCGTAAATCTCCGAGCTTTACTTCACACCTAATTAAGTACGCTACGTAAACATGGAAACTGTAATTAGAAGCCATACTTCTCGCATAGGCATTTCTATCGCCTAAGCGTCGTGTCACGAGTAAATACCTGATAATCGCTCAATCCTTTTAAAGGAAGCCTTTTCGAGTAGAACTGCATGTTAGGTGACTACTTGTACTTAGAAGGTCACATACATAGGCTATGCAAACGGAAAGTTAATCCGTCTTCAGTCAGAATTAATTACGGATTCCGGACAGACGGCGGCGTTAGACCTAATAATAACATTGAGATTAGACACACACCGTTGGATAGCCGATATAATCTTCACGCAAACTTCTCGATAATTGTTCAACAACCAAAGTTATTAACACTCAGGTTTCGCATTTACAAAGTCTTCAAGATTATCTTTACGGTCCATTAACTTAAAAACTTTACCGTGCTCGAGGCTCCTTGAATTTAATTTCGTTAGAAATTACTTTTTGCTCACAAAGTTGATATAGATTCCGCATGAAAATGTTTTAATTTGGTATCATTGACACTGTTACTTGATGTAACACTTTGGTGTCTTGTTCACAATGCAATGTATTAAAAATCCCATCTGATGTTACAGATCAGGGACATCAAGCAACGCGTCGACGCCATCAGCGAAGAAGCTCGATGAGAAGCCCAGTACACCTATCTCCAAACCCGTGACCCCCACTTCGGGGGCAAGCGGTGCGGGGACCGCGGGCGCCCCTCTTAAGGCTGCAGTGAAACCCCCAGCTCTACAATACCCTTACTTGGGTAATGGAGCTCATGACGCTTACGGCCTGGCGGGGTATTCCGCGAGAGCTGCATTGGCGTATGAACCTCTCCGCCCCCCGATTGGTCCCGCCGCGCTTGCTCCCATTCCTGGAGGCAAACCGTGAGTGTCTTCATCAGATTCAGTATAAGTACGCTACGTTAAAACCGCATTTTTTTCGGGCTCGGTGATCATCATGATGATCAAAAGGCCGCATTGGCAGAATTACAATATAATATGACAGGAGATGAGATGGAGAGAGACAGGATGGAGATCTCCATAGAACACTGTCAATCAATTGCGTTTTTAATCATATTATGATACTGCCAAAGCGGCCTTTTTAGGCCCCCTGGATATGAAAAACAAAAGTTCTTGCTTTCACGTTTTGCGTAATCTTCCCGATGTCCTACGTAGATAACACACTTCTCACACCATACCAGCATATCATAGCAGCACGTTAGATTAACTACAGATTGTTTAGCATTAACAAAACTAATTATAAAACTGTTTTCTATTCCAGAGCTTATTCATTCCACGTGTCAGCCGAGGGTCAAATGCAACCGGTGCCCTTTCCGCCTGACGCGCTGATGGGTCCGGGCATACCTAGGCACGCGCGTCAAGTTTCTGCCCTCGCGCACGGTGAAGTCGTATGCGCAGTAACTGTGTCTTCGCCAACAAAATACGTTTATACTGGTGGCAAAGGATGCGTCAAAGTGTGGGACATCAGCCAACCCAGTAAAGCTCCAGTCAGCCAGTTGGATTGCTTGGTGAGTGGGTAACTGTCGGCAACATCACCGAAATGTACCAATTTACTTGAATAATTTTATTATGTACAAATCTTGTTCACTAATGTTACATCTCTCGTGTTCCTATTTGATACAGAAACTCAATAAGGTCTATCTTCATCTATTCTATCTACTAAAAAACAAAAATTACTTTATATTTTAATTTTATTTAACTTTTAATTACAGCAACGAGACAACTACATTAGATCGGTCAAATTGCTTCCCGATGGTCGGACTCTGATCGTGGGCGGCGAGGCATCGAATCTTTCTATCTGGGACTTGGCATCACCCACGCCTAGGATCAAAGCCGAGCTCACGTCATCTGCGCCTGCTTGCTATGCGCTTGCCATTAGCCCCGACTCCAAGGTAAGAATTAATAGTATCCGTAAATTATTTTCTACTATATCGAGTTACATTGTAACTGTTACAAGGTGAATTTAGAATAACATCACTCATAATAAATGAGGGTCGAGACTGGTACCTTGTCGAACGCTTTCCAGAATCTTGACACGAGTTTCTTTTTGAAGGAAATGTAATTTCAAATGCCTCAAGTGTAATTTATGTTATTCTTAACGATTCCATTCGAATTTGTATATTCAATGTTTTTATAATCAAAAGCATTACAAAAAAGAAATTTCTTTTCAGGTGTGCTTCAGTTGTTGTTCAGACGGTAACATAGCGGTTTGGGATCTTCACAATCAGACGCTGGTGCGGCAGTTCCAGGGTCACACTGATGGTGCTTCCTGTATTGACATTTCTGCTGATGGTACAAAATTGTGGACTGGTGGTCTGGATAATACAGTGCGGTAAGTACATCATTCAAGATTCTCATGTGTATAAATTTTTTTTTATGATACCCAGCGACGGGAAGAACAAGTCGTGCGACTGGTGGTAAGCGACACACCTGTGCATAACAGTTGCAGTGCCAATCAGAGCTTTGAGGGGCACTGCCACGGCGCCAGTCACCCTGAGTCTTCAGTTGACAAGTCCCAAGTGCCTGTAATTTCACCAGCACCCTCCCCTTCAAAACTGAAATGCATACATTTAATTTGGTTATGTGGTTACCATATGAGGCCTTTGCCTAGAAGTGAGAAACTATAAAATCTGTTACTAGCCAGCTTTTACTGCTGACAATTTTGTTGATTTCATTAGTCAATTTGGATTTAATTTAAATTAAAAAATAAAATTGAATAAATAAAAAAATGTTGCGTATCGTTTTGCTCGTGTTAATGTTTCATAATATTTTTTTCGACAGGTCATGGGACCTCAGGGAAGGCAGACAGTTACAACAACACGACTTCAGTTCTCAGATATTCTCACTTGGATATTGTCCTACAGGTAAAACTTTTTTTATAAACGTCGATCTCATCGATGAAAAATGACGATGAGATAGAGCATGCACACCTAACTAATGCCTATTCACCATCTATTCACTCTTATTATGAAAAGACCCAAGATGTAGCGTTCGGGGAATAAGTCTGCAGACAGCTAATTCCACTACGTCTGATCTCCTGATGATGGAAAGGGGAAGGAGGTATTAAAGTTCTAATTTAAAAAGAGACCTTTGATACTTTTTTTTTACTCTATAAATTTTCAAAAACTCTCTTGACCAAACCCCTCTTTTCTTCTTGTCCGAAGCTAACAAGGTGTCTAAATTAGAATCGAAAAGCTGGGCTAGCTGTTTACAAAAATTACAAGAAATGACGAAAGAATAAACTTGGCGTAGTGTTCAATGAAGGTATCGAGATGGCCTTTTCATCAGACTCTACTTCTTTGTCAAATACCAGCTGTGTTACAAATCTTTACATTATTCTACACACGATGATCTAAATTACATTTTCTTTCACAGGTGAATGGTTAGCAGTAGGCATGGAGAACAGCAATGTGGAAGTTCTTCATGCGGTAAAACCGGACAAGTACCAGTTGCATTTACACGAATCGTGCGTGCTGTCACTGCGCTTCGCCTCGTGCGGCAAGTGGTTCGTCTCTACTGGAAAGGACAACTTGCTTAATGCGTGGCGTACGCCTTACGGTGCCAGTATATTCCAGGTAATAAACGACATAATTACGGGAGCGTATATTATGAGAAAGTAATCTTCTGGCTGGGGTTAGCTTTGGACGCTGATGATGTTCAGAGAACAGATTTTTTAAAGTGATGTTGTTTTTGTTTCGTCACTTGATAAATGTGGTTTCTTCTTCTCCTCTGGAAAAGACGCATTTTGAAGTTTCCCACACCCATTGCGCCAGGGTCCCAAGTCTGCTAATTTTAAATCATCTCAAATTGTACGTTGATAGATTTATTTTTATAATTACAAGTGACGAGACGAACAACACGTGCGCCTGATGGTAAGCTACATGCCTGCCCATAACAGTTGCAGTACCACTCAGAGCTTTAAAGCGCAAAGTTCTGAAGGACACTGCTGCGCTCGTCATCCTTAGACATAAGTTGACAAGTCCCATGTGCCTGTTTCACCAGCACCGTTACCCTTCAAAACCGGAACGCAGTAACGCTGACATTACTGCTTGGCGGCAGAAATAGGTAAGGTTGTAGTACTTCCCTGGACAAACTCTTTCACAAGGACTCTCGCTCTACTGCTACTAAAAGGTCACAATAAAACTTTAATGCCAATATCTCGAAAGTTACCCGTTTATGCGTAAATGCGTTAGTTATGACAAGGAAGGAAGAAAAGATCTGTAACAAACACACTGCTGACACGACCCTGAGCTACAGCTCACTTGATAGAGCGGTGGCCCTAGTTTGGCATGCAGACGCAGGTTCGAGTGCTATCAAATCGAAGGAATTTTTCGTTGTGTTCGATCTTTGTATTATAATTACAACAAAGTAGCGGAGTAATTTCACAAAAAAATAATGATCATGGTCGTAGAACATTATGATATTCAATAAAATCAATACAATAAAACGTACTTTAAAACAGCAATTTTATTTACAGTCAAAGGAATCGTCATCGGTGCTCAGCTGTGACATCTCCTCGGACGACAAGTACATAGTGACAGGCTCTGGCGACAAGAAAGCCACAGTGTACGAAGTGATCTACTAGTGCATATAGTGTGTGATGACCTCAAACTCGAACAAATCTTGAGCAAGTGTAGTGCGGACAGTACCGAGTGGTGATATAGCTTTAGTGTATGTATAGATATATCGGGATGCCTGTATATGTACTTATGCGACATGTTTATATAGATTAGTGTGCGCGTTTTATGTTTATTTGTTGAGCGCCCGTAGTGTATGTTGGCAGCAGATCTCAATGACGATTTCGTTTCAATATTGTTGTAAAATGCTCGTATTAAAGAAAAAATATGCGCAAATTATGTTTGTCTCTTTCTTTATAACACTCCCTATCATTACTGAACCTCCGTTTGATTAGTTTAAAATAATAAGTACAAATTTTAATAACCTGACCCAACTTTGCTGATATCGAAAAGCAAAACGCTTTACTATGAAACAGAAACACAACTAGTGAGATATATAGTCGAATCAACTAATGGATGTATAGAAAGGCAATTGTATGAGAAATAGAACAAAAATGTAGACTAGGTTCAGTGGGTGTACCGCAGGGCAACATTCGGTTTCGTTTTCTATTTGTTGCATAATTATTAAAAAAAACCATGTTGGACACAAGAATCGTGAATTGCATAATGCATCGGCGATAGGTATGTTGTATGTATATGGCCTGTTCTCGACGCCAGCAATCTGGGCCCCAAGTCTAAGGAATTTTTCTTTGTGTTTGCTCAATATTCGTAACAATTATAACAATAGACTATCATACCCAAATTTCTTAAACTTGGTTTATTGTGTAATCGGCCTCTCCCTTGTCCATTGGTTTATTAAAGTCAGTTGTTTAAAGCAATACATAGGCAGTGCAGTAATATTTTTGCGGAAAGCCATGTTAATAAAAATGGACCCCCACCTCCTCAATGCGGAGGGTGCTTTGCATAAAATGAATAAAATAAACAACAAAAGCGCAACTACAGTCACAAACACCACCACCAAAAATATAACTAATCTGGACGACGAACTAGAATATGTGGTTACGGAATACCATCTATAGTGCTAGTGTAACAGGACACGCCTTGCGCGAGAGTGACATGAAGCGCGAGGTACAGCTATTCTTGCATAGAGATCAATATCAAATCAAGTATTGTGTGCGCCCTATAGGCCATGTTGTGAGTATACCACAGGGCAACATTTTGGTTCCTACTCTATGTATATTACATAATTATTGACGAAACAACACGCTGGATACAAAAATCGTGAATTTATTTGTAAATACAATTTACAACCATTATATCAAATAGCGTGTTTACAATAGTGTGTGGCAAATCGAGTCAACTTCCTTTCCAATACTTTGTTATAATGGTTTTTATTTTATTCTTGTTCATATTCACTATGAAACATCAGTCAACGGATAACGGATAATCCATAGTCTGATATTATCCGCACTCATGGACTACTTAAAAAAACATACTTAAAACACATAATATTTCCTACTTCATCATTTATTTATCAATACTTATGAACTATCATTACAGGATTTTACCTAATGCGATAGTAAAATACATATGAAATATTGCCTATAACTAAACTAGTCTATATATTTTCATAACATATTACAAACAAAGTTACCATTGTGAGTTCACTCAAAGAACATAAGAATAAGTCACGTTATTGGCCACCAAATTGAGAATGCGAAGCGCGTGTGTCAACGGCGCCTTGTTCATCAGGTTGGTGCTACCGCGCGGTACTGTCAGCAGGTGAGGCCGTCGCCGACGCCACACGTATCCGTCTGGAACACACATGCCTATTTGCTTCATAAGGTCCGGATTGGAAATCTTTCCTCTAAAAAGTTTAAACTATATTTTAAAACTTTTTAGATACTAGTGCAAGTTTTCGCCTGACTTTGTGTTATAGCCAACCATTCCTAAAACAAATAGGCTTGGGTACATCAGAGGGAAATATGGGTAAACGCCGTATTGTTTCATTTAGAGGTACCTAGTGAGTTTATTGTGCATCCTCTCCAACATGACCACATATTTCGCTTCATGCGGGCCCCATATGACAGCATTACCCTCAAGCTGGCTTCTAACCATGGCGTTATACATATAAGGCGATTATCGCTTTAATATTTGTAAAGGCATGAAACCTTCGACGAATAAAACCTAGATTTTTGTACGCTTTTTACATACCCTAACAATATGATCACAATACGATCTAAGCTGATCGACTTAGTTTAGTTCATTTACACTCCAGAGCTTGCGTTAAAAATGTACATAACTCTTTTACTTCACCAAATACAGCATTAGCCCCCACTTATTAACACCCCTTTCATTTTTTTACGTGGGCAAATCAATCATGGACACCTCCTGCCTAGTACAGACGAAAGGTTATGTGATACTCCTACTCACTGAAACCTCGCGGCACCTGTCTCCGCACCACGTGCTGGATCTTGGGGGCGCCGAAGCAAAAGTACCAATAACTATCCCTAGCTAATTCGTAAACATAAAGATAACTGAAACTATAGAAAACTAACTTTTCTGTATTGTCTCGTCGGGCGGTTGACACTCCAGCAGCTTGATTTTGATTGCCTCTACCGATCGGAAACTGCGTCTTTTCCGAGTCGAGGCACATATAATTGCAATTCACAACTGGCCGATCGAAACTATTGCCATTTCTACTCGGAACAATAGTTGATTTAACTCACAAAGTAGAAAGATAATAGTAGGAATCAAGCGAGAAGATGATCTCGCTCAGAAACACGTCTGATTTCGAGACTATCATATCGATTCCAATTTCAATAAAAAACAGGCCCCTGTAGTCTCCGGAACCGATAGTACTTACAAATAATTATATGAATTATTATATTTAATTTATGACATCACAATTCATTCCTTTAGATTTCTATAGGCAGCTAAGCGCCATTTATGAGTTTATTGTGTTGGTAAGTGTTAGAAAAACGCTCATTAGCAAATACACATGGCCACACACTGGGCTTAAACACGCCATGGTTTTCGATGTTGCTATTAGATTACAAAACAAACAACGCAAGGTACATTAAATAATAAATGTGTCAGTCAACTCACACATTCCATATTAAGGAATTTTTTGTATCAAAATAGGCACCTAAACATCAAGTAAGGTAAATAACTCGCTCTGAAATCACGGAATGATTAAAAATAAAAGGCAAAAAATGTAAATATAATACTCAAATTTTTATTAACAATAAAAAAACTTTTTTATTTTAAGTTTTTTCCTGCCGAGCATAGAACAACGCAACAACAGAAAGGCTGATTCATATTGCCATCCGAAAATTACGTTGTTTACATTGTCAACTCATGAAGATAAAAAATTTGTAATTTAATAAATATTTACATTTTAAATACCAAAAAAGATAGTTAACTTAATGTGTGATTTGTATTTACACTGAAGGTGAATAAATTTTTGACCGACTTAAAAAAAAAGGAGGAGGTTTTCAATTCCCCTGTATATTTTTTTTTTGTATGTATGTTACACGATAACTCCGCCATTTGTGAACCAATTTTGATGATTCTTTTTTGTTGGAAAGAATGATGATGTGGTCCTATTAAAATTTCAAGAAAATATTTCACCTCTAAGGGTGGCAAACTAGGGGATGAATGGCTTTTGAGGTCGGTTTTTTGAACCGGAGATTAGGTTAGGTTATTTTTTTTTTCCAGTAATCAGCACAAATAATACTACAGGAATCACACAATTTTTTCAACGCTGACCTGTGTTATGTATGAGTCCCAGAATTATAACGCTATCAACTCTAGGGGCACTATCCAGATCACCCAAACCAGAACCAGTTTAGAAAAATTTCGTTTCTAAATTCATTCTATAGGGAATTGAATCCGGGACTTCCTCATTTAGCGCAAAGAATGAGCCACCGTTTGTCAACTTTTTTATAATTAGTTTACGTGGCTTATCAATCAACGTCAGTGTTTGGCTCTGTATTTACCATTCACGCCATTGATAAAATTTGTTTATTTAAAATAAGTGAAACATAAGACTCGGAACATTTTAACGCACACAATGTAGTCGTAATGAGCATAATGAGCTTTTTATCTAACCGATTAAAGTAAATATCTACCCTATAACTATCAACACTAAATTATCAAAAGTATTTGTTATTGAGACCAAAGATACCTAGGTAATTTTGGGTGAATACGCAACCTATTTTAACTATAATTATTAATAATAAAATTTTAAACTTGTCGTTTTCAACCTTTATTTTAATGCAAGTAAACATATAATATATGGACATCATACGATTCCTATATCCCATACTGTACCCTACGATGGGATTGACCTCGGCCTGCGGCGCATGGTCGGTGGCAGGTCACGGGGTGTATGTACTTATGCTGCAGGATGCTCCGTACCCGTACTTCGACCAACCGGCAATAACGAATGGTATGAATGGAATGGAATTTTAAATACTTTTTTAGCTACCACTGTTAATATGATTCAGGAGGATAATAATTATATTATGCACATTGATCATAATTACTGTACAAAAAGTGATATGCAGTCCCTCAGTTGCTTCCTATTGTGGTCTCAGATATTTTATAAAAAGCGGACTGCAATATAATAGCAAATAGGTATAATGAAAAAGCCAACATCAAAGCAATACCTCAAATCGTATTACACAATTACGACAATAGTTATAGACATTCAGGATGCTATTGCGGCTTTTGCGATTCTTTATCGCTTCAGGAATGTCACCGATGAACATGTAGATGGTTTGCCGCCATCATGCAAACAGAGCGGCATTTGGTGCGTAGAGTTCGTGGCAGCGGTAGTCGCTGCATTACAGTCGGGGTCCTGTGGGTTCATTCCTTGAACACTAGACCAAACTTCGTGTGTACTCTAGACCTAGTACATATTTGTAACCGACTTCAAAAAAGGAGGAGGTTTGCAATTCGACTTATATTTTTTGTGTGTACTAATTTGTGAACCAATTTCGATGTTTCTTTTATTCCACCTCTAAGGGTGGTAAATTAGGGGATGAATCCGGTTTATTGGAATTCACCCACTTTCCGTTAACTTATTTCAATAAAACATGGCAAATACAAGTGGCAGATACAAGCAAATGCCAGAAACTTGTCATGTCGGTTTTTTTTTTTATAAAAAAGTTGTAAGAAGATAAATTACTAACATTAGTGTGCAATTTCTTTTTTGTTTTACTAACCAATTCTTCTTATTTAAGAGCTAGGCTTTTGTCGGTGGAGTTGT